CCTCGGTGGCCGAGAACGCCCTCAACCGTGCCTCCCACATCTCCCGCACCTCCTCCCTCACACCCCGTCCACGCACTCAGAACCAAAAAAGACTCCCCCTCGTCCTCACGTACCATCCCACCAACCTCCGGATCCAACGCATCATCCTCCGACACTTCCGCCATCTGCAATCCGACCCCACCACCAAAGACATCTTTCCCTCCCCACCCTTATCTGCTTTCCGGAGGGACAACTCTCTCCGTGACTCCCTTGTCCGCTCCACACTCCCCTCCAGCTCCACCACACCCGGCACTTTTCCCTGCAACCGCAGGAAGTGCTACACCTGCCCCCATACCTCCTCCCTCACCCCCATCCCAGGCCCCAAGAAGACTTTCCACATTAAGCAGATGTTCACCTGCACATCTGCCAATGTGGTATACTGCATCCGCTGTACCCGGTGTGGCTTCCTCTACATCGGGGAAAGCAAGCGGAGACTCGGGGACCGCTTTGCAGAACACCTACGCTCGGTTCGCAATAAACAACTGCACCTCCCAGTCGTGAACCATTTCAACTCCCCCTCCCATTCCTCAGACGACATGTCCATCCTGGGCCTCCTGCAGTGCCACAACGATGCCACCCGAAGGTTGCAGGAACAGCAACTCATATTCCGCTTGGGAACCCTGCAGCCCAATGGTATCAATGTGGATTTCACAAGTTTCAAAATCTCCCCTCCCCCTACCGCATCCCAAAACCAGTCCAGCTCGTCCCTGCCTCCCTAACCTGTTCTTCCTCCCACCTATCCCCTCCTCCCACCTCAAGCCGCACCTCCATCTCCTACCGACCAACCTCATCCCGCCCCCTTGACCTGTCCGTCCTCCCTGGACTGACCTATCCCCTTCCTAACTCCCTACCTACACTCACCTTTACTGGCTCCATCCCCGCCTCTTCGACCTGTTTGTTTCCTCTCCACCTATCCTCTCCTCTATCCCTCTTCTATCCGCCTCCCACTCTCTCCCTATTTATTTCACAACCCCCTTCCCCTCCCCCTTTTCTGATGAAGGGTCTAGGCCCGAAACGTCAGCCTCTCTGCTCCTATGATGCTGCTTGGCCTGCTGTGTTCATCCAGCCCTGCACCTTGTTGTCTGTAATAGTGTGATCTGTGTTTTAGAGATAAAGTGTAATGAATGGAGGAGCTGATGAGTTAAAATTGTAATACTGTCATCTTGCTCAACTATTTAGTTATTTTTCCATGGCTTTTGGGCAGTTCATTACTTTACTATGATTTACTATTGTAGTATTGTTTTAATATAATAGAGGAAATGTTTTTAGACTGTGAAGAAGCACGGCTGCTGTTTTGCTGTAGTACATTTCTTGCATTCCTTGCGTTATGCCAGTTTACATGAGTGTAGCACGGGAGACTATAGCCTCATGATATTATCGTTGGACTATTAATCCAGAAACTGCCATGGTAGAATTTGAATTCAATATATGAAAAAAAAGTCAATCAGAATCTACTGTGACATGATTGCTGAATGATGGAAAAACTCATCTGGCTCACTGCTGTCCTCCAGGGAAGGAAATCTGCCATCCTCACCTGGTCTGGCCTACATCTGACTACAGTTCCAAAGCAATGTGGTTGACTCTCACCTTTTCTCTGAAATGGCCTAGCATGCCACTCAGTTCAAGGCTAGCTAGGGCCAGGTAACAAATGCTGGCCACCCAGCAATGCCCATGTCTTACAAATGTAAAAAAATATGATATTCCAGATTCACTCTTTTGGATAAACTACACTAAGTACCTTCTCACAAAATATTGATAAGCTGTGCTCTGTAAGCATATTATTTCTTTGTTCAAGAGATTTACTTTTGAGAAGTTAACATTATTTATAGTAAATAAATAAAGTCCTATAGTGAATTGGTCTAAGTAACACCTGTTTCGTTGAGCTGTTAGATTTTGCGTACATACATTCAAATTTGGATGTCTATCTTTTAAACTTTAAGGACTTAATCTGCAGTTTTCTTTTTCCTCTGGTGATCTATTTAAATCAAAGATGTGGAATTTCTATTGAGTGGTGAAATGTTTATCAGAAAATGTTTAGCATATTAATAGCCAGGTTGCTGTGTTTGCTGATGTTTAATTTTCTTCAATCTTGTTAAGATCTGAAATCAAGAAACTAACTAACTGCATTGGATCAAGACCGTAGTTTCCTTTTATGTCATCTTCATACCACTTTTTCAAGTGTACACAATTGAATAAAGAAGTATTTATTTTTCAGCATTTGCAGCAAAGCACACAGATGGTGAGTCAAGCAGTGCATCTAGTGGTAGTTCCTGCACAGTGACTTCAGGGAGCACACAATACAACAGAACAGAAATGAATAAACTTCAGTGCAGGTCTAGCCTGAACCGGAAACCTGGACAGCATTTTAGAGCCCTGAGAAGGCCAAACACGGGTAAGAAATGATTTTATTATTACTTTTTTTGGAATAATGTACTTGTTCTGATGGTTGACAGGTAAATGTATTGTTTCAAAATTCTATGTTCCACAAAGTGCCATAACTATTCATCAGATCAATAGGATATTGTACTTTGAGAGTGTCTAGCAATGTATAGGACAAGTTATAAGCAAACATCAGGACTGTTTATTATGCGTCCGTAGATTTATGTCTACAGTATCTTTTAAAAATATTTTGTTTATTTAGTTGTTGATCCCTTGCAGTGGAACCATACATGTTAATGTCAGGTGACGTGCAACTTTTGTGATGTAGTTCAACAACTTAGATTGGTATAGTGCTCGAAAAGGAGTCTCTACAATGTACATCATAGGTCAACACAAATGGTAAATATTACAGATGCTGGAAAATGAATGTTAAAAAAAATTGCTGGAAGCACCTGGCAATCTGGAGATGTCATCTGTGATTTGAGACAGTGTTGATTTTTCACAGCAATGTCAAAAGGTTATAGCCCATGGAAGGCCACGGTATGTTTTATATAGCATTTCTGTTCATACATATCAGGTTCGCATATGCAGTGTTTTGTTTTCATGTCTGATATTTAATAGATTTCTTTTAATAGCTATTACAGAGACATGGTTGCACAGTGACCATGATTAGGAATTAAATAATCTAAGATATTTGACTTCTGGAGGATATGGGCAAAATGGAGGATGGTTTCCTTGAACAAAAGATACAATAACAAGAATAGAAAAAGGATTTTAGTTTGAAAAATTAATATATAGAATTAGTTTGTGTTTGTTTTCTGCCCCTTGATTCCTACTCGATGCTGGAAGTAGTTTACTGGCTTCGTAACAGGAGTTTAACATTTGACTCTTCAACAATCTTTTGAAATAGTCTGCCTACTACCTCAGTTCAAAGTCAGCTAACACAGGCAATAAATGCTTTTTCATCAGTAATGCAAATATCCCATGAAAGAACACAAAATTAAGTTTGGAGAATTGATATTACATGGAAGGCAAAAGGCAAAGAAATACTCATTTCTTTTCTAGTTCATGATATAATCGACTGGGGAATGGGTTATTTGAGATCCAATTCTGTGTAGGGAAGCACGTTTAATTAATAACATCGTAAAGGAAACTTTGGTGAAAAGTGATCATAATGTGACAAAATTTTATAACGAATTTGAGAACAGTTTAGTTCAGAAGTTTAGGAAACTAGGAACCTAAATCTGAACAAAACCAGTAAAGATAAGAAAGGTGAATTGGGCAACTACAAAAAGGACGAGGCAATGACGGGGATTTAGTTCACAACAGTTGGACCATCTCTTTTTCAGCCAGGATTCCTTAGAACCAGAGGGTGTAAGAGCATCCCCAATTGGTTCAGTATGATTTTTGGGTAATTTGAGAATTGTACCGAATGCAGAACAATCCTTTGAAAAAAATGAAGATAAAATCATTAAGATGCTTAGTGTCCAATGTGTAATAGTATATTGCAAGCATGTGTTAGTAACAGAATAGCTTAATTTTGTGTTTTTCCTTTCATGAAGATGTTTGGGGTTCCAAAAATTTTGATAACATGTTGTATGCTTCTTTGTTCCACTTGGTTGGACATTGACTTAAGGTGAACAGGACACCTTGGACTGGTCCAGACATAGTTAACAAGTGGCTTGCTCGTAATGTTAGATCAAAGGAAAATGCATATAATTTTGCTGAAAAGAGTAACAAGCCTGGAAAGTAAAGATCAATAGGAATTTGATGAAAACTAAGTAGGATACAAGAGTAAACCATTAAGAGACTTGCAGAAAAGTTGTAACTCTTCTATATGTGTTGGTTAGAAAAGAAGAGATTAGCAAGAATGATCATTAGGTCCCTATAAGGCAGAGACTGGATCTGGAGTCGCCAGTAGGAGAGACCAGGTAAAGTTGCCAAATTGTATTCCCTAAAGGACAGTAATGAACTAGATTTTTGTTTTTGCAACCATCAACAATGGCTTCATGGCTAGCTTTTAATGCCGGATTTATTAACTGAATTCAATTTCATTCAAACACATGTCCCCAAGGATTTAGCGTGTGCCTTTCTTCTATTGCTAGTCCAGTGGCATTATCACTATGCCGCAGCTTTCACAACTCTCCCAATAACCTTTCTAAGATAAAGTATAAGTTAACTTTTAACTACAATTAATTCAACAATTGATTTTGGATTGTATGACAAGCTAGCTTATCAGTTTCTCCAGCAGATGTCCACATTTATCTACAGTTAACTTTGAAGAATTAATGTTTTATGTTCTAAAATATATGAATTAGTTGAACTTGAAACACGAACTCCAACCTTCTGTAGTTACCATGAACCTGAAGTTAAACTGGACTAGCCATACAAATGTTATGGCTGCAAGGGGAAGTCAGAGGCTGGGAATTCTGAGGTGAGTAACCTGTTTCCTGACTCTGCAAAGCCTACTCTTCATCTACAAGGCAGCGTGTGATGGAGATTCTCAATGCTGTCATGATTGCAAGTACTTTATTCCACCCCATCCACCACCTTTAAACAGTCACTGCCTCTGCTACCAAAATATACACTTCTTGAACTCACCAAGGCTCCTTCAACAGCACCTTCCTAATCCGCATTCTGTACAACTTAGGTGGGTAACGACAACAGACTCCTACGAGTGCTATCGCTTGCAAGTATTCCTCCAAGTCCTGACTTGGATCGATGGTATCATTCCTTCACTTCGCTGTGTCACAATCCAGGAAATCCCTTCCATTCATTGCTCCGGGTGTACCTACACGACATTACCTGCAGCGATTTTAAAAAGCCATCTCACCACTACAACCTACGTGCAGTTAAAGAAATAAATATTGGTTCATATTCATAACTGAAATAAGAGTTAAAATAAAATAATTCAAATATGTGGAAGAAGTATTTTACTTCCGCCATCCTACTTCACATCTGCTCATCAACTTTGTTTCACTGCCTTTCTCACTCAGTGACCCTTGCTGCTGTTGGCAATCCTGCTTGCTGACCCTTTGACTCACCATGCATCTTGTCACCAGTCCTGTTCCCTGACCTCTACAGCTGCAATTGATGCTGCTTGGCCAAACCACTACCTCGCTAAATGTAATGCTCCCTGACCACATGTCTCACTGACTCTTTTCCTCCTGAATCCAGAATATGACCGAGATCTCTGTAGCTGAGCAATGAGAAGCATGAAAAGAAACTTCAGTAGAGTCATAGAGATGTACAGCACAGAAGCAGACCTTTCGGTCCAACTCGTCCATGCTGATCCTAAATAAATCGAGACCTATTTGCCAACATTTGGCCCATATCCCTCTAAACCCTTCCTATTCATATGCCCATCCAGGCGCCTTTTAAATGTTGTAATTGTGCCAGTCTCTTCCAGTTCCTCTAGCAGCTCATTCCATACAAACACCACCCTCTGCGTGAAAAAGTTGCCCCTTCGGTCCCTTTTAAATCTTTCCCCTCTCACCTTAAACCTATGCCCTCTAGTTTTGGACTCCCCCACCATAGGGAAAAGACCTTGGCTATTTACCGTCTGTACCCCTTATCTTGTAGGAGATAATGTGAAAACTAGGGTGGCAGCAAGAGGCAGAGTTGCCAGCAGCCTGGAGATTCAGGGAGTGGGAGAGGCACGAATTGGGGAGGGTGACACTGACTGAGATGGTGCACTTAGCAGAAAAACTTGCAATTAATTATCTTGATACAGTGCTGTAACCTTACAGAGGATTGATTCACAAAGGGATAATTGACTCCACAAATTGTCTTTATTTTCATTGAAGCACTTGAAGTTGGGTTCTGAATTATTGGATGTCCGAAACACAATTTTCAGACTTTTTTTTTCCTGGGAAACTGCCCAGTGGTTATGTCATGAAGGGTTTAAATCAAATTCTGCCAGGAGCTAAATATTAAAATTCCCACAGCCAACTTGTAGTTTAGTGTGTGTTTTTTTTTTGTCTCCTCAGCTGCAATGTGATGTTATTGTATTCATGGTATTGTATTTTGAAAGCAGGACAGATGAAGCGGAACAGAGGGGAAGAGATTGATGTTGAAACACCTGGATCAATTCTTGTCAATACGAATCTACGTGCTTTGATCAACTCACGGACTTTTACTTCTTTGCCACTACATTTTCAGCAACAGCTGCTATTTCTACTGCCGGAGGTGGACAGGCAGGTAAGGATTGATCTGAGCACGGATATTGAATATACTTTTATCGAAAGGAAAGGTATGCATGCTTAATGAGTTAAAAGAGGATGGCGAGTATGTGAAAATAAATACTGGGCCCTTCCTCATTCAAGATGGCAACTTTGACAGATGGGTTGAAGGGCTTTTGACCGTGCTGTAACAAGCCTCTGACCCTAATTTGTGGCCAAAACAAACCATTGTATTAAATCTGACCAAATGCAATATGTTATGATTCACTTCCTCCACTTGATATATTTTGTTCTTGGCAATTGTGAGGGTAGGACCAAAATTAACACTTCAGATCAATGAGCTTTTATCAGATGATCGAACTGAAAACTGCCTGCTTTTCTGTTCATAGCTGCTGCTTGACCTGTTGACTATTTCCGGCATTTCGATTTTGTCACACTTTGCTTTTGTGTTGAATTTTGCCTGTGGAGACCAGCATTATTTGTGATCCCAATCAGATTTATGTACTCCAGGCATTGTTTTTGTTTGTGGAAATGAACTTAGTACCCCTTGCTTTGACTGTTGTAATGTAGTCCACTAATTCAGGAACATTTTATCTAAAATTGAACATCCAGTAATTTGAACAAAGCTGCATAGATACCATCAAGTTAGGAAATCAGGGCCACAAAAATTTAAATTGTCAGTTAATTTTTGTAAAACACAATAGGGATATATTAGTTATGTGCATAGTAGTTTTGTGGATGAGTGTATCCTTGTATGTAAATGAAAGGAAGTGTCAAAATTATCCTGTTGGGGGTTAGAAAATTACGGAAAAAGTTAAGGGGAGCTCGGTAGAGGTTATTAATGTTTCCAGAATATTGCCTGGGCCTCTGGATTAACAGTCCAATGATAATACTGCTGGGCTGTTGCCTCCTGATCCCAGTCATTTGGTACGATTTTAGAGTCAATTAATAAGTATCACAATCTCATGCTTGAAACTGCATGGTAAAATAGAGTGGAATCAGCATGGCATCATCGAGAGGAAGTCATGCCTGACAAACTGTTTGGAATTAGTTGAGGTTACGAGCAAGCCAGACAAAGGAGAGCCAGTCTATGTGATCTGGTTGGATTTCCAGAAGGCCTTTGACAAGGTTCTTAAGCACAGGAGCCTGCTAAATAAGATAAGAGCCCAAGGTGTTAGGGGCAAGATCCTGACATGGATAGAGGATTGGTTGACTGGCAGAAGGCAGAGAGTGAGGATAAAATGAGTCCCTTTCAAGATGGCAGCTGGTGACTAGTGGAGGTTCACAGGGCTCCACACTGGGACCATAGCTATTCGTGTTATACACTAATGATCTGGATGAAGGAACTGAGGGCATTGATGCTAAGTTTACTGCTGACACAAAGTTGGAGGGGTAGGTAGTGTTGGGGAAGCGGGCAGGCTGCAGCAGGACTTGGGCAGGCTAGGCGAGTGGACACTGAAATGGCAGATGGAATACACTGGGAAAGTGTGAGTTTATGCACTTTTATAGGAAGAAGAAAGGCGTAGACTAAATTCTGAACAGGGCAAGGCTTCAAAAATCTGAAGCGCAAAGGGAATTAGGAGTCATATTTCAGGATTCTAGTTGGCAGTTAGGAAGGCAAATTCGAGAGGGAGAATGTTGCTGAGCAAAAGGATGTAGTGGTGCAAGTGCATAGTTCCTTGAATATGGAGTCACAGGCAGACAAGGTGGTGAAGACGTTGTTTGGCATGCTTGCTTTCATTGGTCAGTGCATTGAGTATAAAGTGATGGTTGACCATTTGCTAGTGCTTTTCAGGTTAGCTAATCAAATGAGCAAATTAGTGCAGAGGCTGGAATCTGTACTGAAAACTAAAAATGCTCGAAACCATAGCGGGTCAGGCAGCGTCCGTAGAGAGAGAGCAAGCTAATGTTTCGTGTCAAGATGACTCTTCATCAGGAGCTGCTCCTGAGCATTTTTTTTGTTTTCAGTAGCTAATCAAATAGCTAGTTTCAACATTTGCTATATATTTTTTATGTAGAAAGGTTTAAAAATTTTATTGAAATATCAGTAATAATGGCCACCGTTCAGGACAGTGTTGCTCCATATGTGTTTAAGATCACATTCTGTTCTTCATGTTCTCTAACCTTTGATGCTAAAGCTGATTTCTGTCTGAAGGGTGGCATTAACTGATTGAACTCATTGACTGTCCAATCTGAAATATCTGTTCTGGAATTTGCTGGAAGAGTTGTATTGTTAATTTTGAGGGTCATGTTTTGTAGGCAAAATCATTTGCCAGTCAGGTGGATTCTGTTCAATGCTGTATTGTGGCACCTGGTGAGGTGTTGAATACATTGATTAGAACATGCAATGAGCATCTGTCTGTATGTTATATTTACTTTGTTGCCTAAAGGGTGCCATTTCAACCTAGCAACTGTCCTTCAAACTGCATTGAGAACTAGAGGACATTCAGAACTGTTTTTTACCATTGATCACCACAAATATTCAAGCAAGATAACCTCATAGTACATGTATAAAGTCTTTTTTTTGGTTTAACACATAATGAGATGGCTTTTTAAAAGAACTAATCCTCATTTAGTCAAAGAGGAATCTTGTCGGCAGGAATGACTCCTACACAATTTTGAGTGTTTACTGGTCATGGTACATTGCCATAGGCCTTCATAAATACTCCAGTTAGCATTTTGGGATAGTTACGTGGCTCTGAAGTTATTTTTGAAGGCTCTTTGAGTGTTGGTGTTTTCACAAGCTCTTTTGCGTCAGAATGTCCTCACTATGTTAGCATATGTCCATATAGTTAATGTGGGAACTCTGAAAGTTAAGTATAGCCCTTTCAAACATGTTCTGCCATTCAGTTGCTTCATGGCTCATCAATTTCTTTACTCCAGCCAGCCACCTTGGCTCCACCCTTGCTGGCAGTAATCTGTTGATTTCCATTTTAAAATTATTATGATAGCACTTATTGTTTCATGTGGAAATGAAATTTATACTCCTGCTAAACTTTACCTGAATTGTTTTCCAACTTCTCTCGTGGATGCCATGGTTTTGCTTTGAAGGTTTATGTTTCAACTTCTTTCAAAATCTTAAAAACCTTAATCAAATCACCGCCTTCAGTCTTCTTTGGTCTTGGAAATACAGCTTGAATTTGTATTGTTCTAATGCAAGATCATAGACTTGAAATGGTAACTGTTTCTCTCTCCACAATTGCTCTTTCGATTTCCAGCATTTTCAGGTTTTATTCCAATTGTATACAGTATTTCCTCATAATCAAACCTTTGAAATTGGTATAGCAGTCTAGTAAACAAACATGGAGCTTCTTCCATGGCTTGTATTTCCATTGAAAGATGTGCCTGTAATTTCACCCAGACCTCTAGGTGTGGCCCAGCCAAAGCATTCTGCAGCTTTGGCAAAAATTTGTTCCCTTTATATTCTAGCTCTCCGGTTATAAAGGAATACCCTATTCCATATGTACTTGGTCTGAAGTGAATGACCTCCTGTTTGAATATATTGAAATCTGTTTGCCACAGCAATTCAGGTAATCTGTCTATATAATATCATATTGCATCAATACTGCTGACAATGCTGTCTATCTTCGTGTTCATGGCAATTTTGCATATGTGGCATTCTATCCCAAAGACGTATATCATTAGAAGCACTGTTGGGGCCCCAAGAAAGATCATTATGGGACATTACTTGTTACTGTAATCTGCTGCAGCTTCTCAACTCTTTGATATCTGTGCTTCTCCAATTGTGATTTTTGTGGTATCCCTGTTTAATCATCCATTTTTGGTGTCCATGCTATAGGCTGCCTAAGACCTGAAGCAGTAAAATTCCCTCCCTAAACACAGTTTTCCTCTCCTTTTCCTTAAAATTATTAAGATGCACCTGTTTGATCAAGTTCATCTGCCCAATATCAGGTTTTGTCGCTCAGGGTCCAATTTTGCTTTCTAATAAAATTTAGCAGTGGAAATAGGTCATTTGGCTCATTGAATCTGCTCCAGTGGTCTTGTGAAGAAATTTGGATTGATTTATCACAATAAAGCTGCTATGCAACTAGAAGTTCCTACACACGTTTGGAGGCTTTGTATCATTGCATATACTTATTGAAGATTCGTTTTCTTAATTATTCATTTGGAGAGAGAATTAATATTTTAATGAGTTTGCCCATGCTCTTGTCAGGACAAGTCAAAATATTCTGTTTACCTTTTTTGTTGTGGAATACCAGGTGACCATGTTATTGGTGGATTTCTTGTGACTGGTAAGATCTCATCTGGTTTTTTCATGCTGTTGTTTGCCAGTGAACAAGTTTTCTTTGAGATTGTTACTTGCAATAAACCTGCACACTGGGATGTGATATAACCTAACAAAAACATGTTAAGGTTGTTGACTCCATATAGGCTGAAGTTGAGATTAGGCTGAAGTTGAGCACGGTGTATGTTCATTCTAGTTTCATTAATCTGGTTTACAAGGTAAAATTAATTACCTCTTAATCTGTTGGATCCTGTACACTGGGGAGATATCTTTCTGTGAAAGGGAAAAAACACCAAGAAATTTGCGATTAGTCAATTCTAAGGAAGAACTGTTGAGTAATCTGATTATGTACTCTGATTCTCATCCTACAAGACATAAGCTTTGATGAGATTGAACAAATGAATTGTGTAAAGGTGCCTAAAAATATTAACATCCTACAGGTTTGAAATCTGGTCAGTTTGTGCAATCTACACTTCTGTAAGATGCATGGTAGAGGGGCATTTTCTGGTTTTTGAAAGGCCATTTTCATTTCAGTTCATTTCAACTCTACTTTGCAATTATTTTTAATTTTGCTTCTTGAAACTTTGAATATATAAGAATTCTAAGGTTAATACAAATGTATTATTCTGATGCGATCTTTAGCTTCCTCATAGTGAATGTTACACAGTGTCAAATGGGAACATTTACTAATCAGCCCAGTCGAAGATGTTATTGCACACTCTGAACCAGATGGGACTTGCATCTGGGCCCCCTGGCTCAGAGGTAAGGAGAAGTGAAAAAGTATTATTAAAAAATGAGCTGTTTCAGGTGCCAAAGCTGAGCTGCTTCAAAAAATCCCTTTGATTAATGTGTTAATGTCATATGTTGATCTTTTAACTGGCTGCCTTATATGTAAAAAGACACTAATGATGAATTTTTGTAGCACTCCAGATTTTGTTGCTGAAGTGTTTTGTTTGGTAATTTTCTTTTTGTGATTTGCTATTGAGAATAGAAATTTAATCCAGTTCAACTGCACATTGGTGCTGAATGAAGTGATAAAGCCACGTTCCTGCCATTGTTATTTCTGTTCAGTATCTTGTGTGTGCCTTGAGGTTTGGTTCCTGTGTGTAGAAACAAAGAGGGGATAAGTCACTAAGGACTGCTTCATATATGCCTTAAGGAGTTGGTTGCAACTGCTAATGCAGGGATTTTGAAGCCGATTAGCTGCACTTTGCAGATGAATACCTTTCTGTTGAGCTTATCAGCAAGAGAGGAGATTTGATGACCAAAATCAATTTTTATTCTGGTTCTTGTAAAATTAAATACTACAAAAGGTTGCCTCTAACCAGGTTAATCAGTGCTCTTGATTTTTAAGAAAATTAACGTAGGCTTGGGGTTTCTCCTGCACATGGTGAGTCTTTTGTTTGCAAAATGCTTACGAGATTATGCAAGCGATGAATTAAAGATGACAGGAGTAAACTTGAAACACCCACTTAATGTTGGTTGAAGATGTACAGGATTTTTTTAAAAAACTAAAATCTTGAAATGGAGAAAAAAATTCCTAACTAGGATTTAGAAATTTTGATTATATCTGGTGGTTTTGGTGAAAATTAGCTTGAGTAACTCAATTCCAATGTCCTTTTCTGTTTTAAATGGTGGATGATGGTTAGCTCTGCTGTATATTAAGACTAAAATGAGTGATGGAGTAGGTAATGTATGATGTGCAGACCAGTGGGTGGCACTGTGATCTGTAGCAACATATAAGCTTTAAATTCATTATTAGTCATAATTGTGAACTTTAAATGAAATTTTTATTCACCCCTTCTCAACAAGGCGTTTCTGTTCTCTAGTTAAGAGCAAATATTCTACTTTTTCTTTTGGCGGAGGCAGGGGATGAATTAGCGTTGTAGAAATATACAACACAGAAACAGATCTTTTCATTTACTTTCACAATTTCTAGATCATTTTGCATCTCAGTCCCGGTTGAAGTACTATGTAAATCTACATTATTATATATTAACCTACCAAGATGTCATCCTAACGAAAACCAAGTTATTTCTCATGATTGCCCATTTAGTTGTTTGAATTTGTATGAATGACACATGAACATGAGGGCAACGTAGCTCAACTGCAGTCTTCAAATGGCAATGTAACAAAAAAAACTGTAAATTGAAAGGAGCGGGCTGTTGTGGAGAGCCTCACACCCTTCTCAGTTTACTGGGAACAGATGTTTCTCTGTCTGCAGATGCTTTAGTGGGAGAAGATTAACTATTTACTTAACCAGTCAAACTGGTTTGTTATTGTTTGCACTGCAAGCTAATCCTAGCATAATACAAATTAACCAAATTTTTGCAAGACTGAAAAGTTGATTGCTTCCTTTTTATGACCAAATTGAAGTTTTAGTTAGGTTGTAGTAACCAATATCCAGTTGGTGTATTGTTTTAAGCTTGTATTTACATTGATATTAATTAGTTTTATAATTTCCACTCTTGTACTTTAGTATTGCAATTTTTGATGTACAGTACTGAAAGCTGTTCCCACTACCCCAAACCTCCCTCTAGAACTTCGATGTGTTTTCACAACTAATTCTACCCATGTTTCATTCCCATATGCACATACTTCAAATTGACTATATGTTAATGAAAAGTGAAAATCTGGCTTTCTATTTCTCCTTTTCAAAACAGCTAATAACACCATGGTACCAGCCTTGCTATGTTCAGTTAACTATACCGGAACAGGAGTCAAACCTGAAATCTTGTTAATCTTTTAAAACTAAACTTGTAACTGCCTAAATTTTTTGAGATATTATGTGACCAATTCAAACAGAACTTTAAGGTGTGTTTTAAATCTATTATTTTAAGAAGCGGTGATGGGAGTTTCTGTGAATATTTTGTCCTTTTTTTTTGGGGGAAGAAACTACAAGTTGTGATTTCTAAAATTCAAAGCTATATCTGAATCTTGGGTGTCACTTTCAAGTCGGGAGAAGAAATCTTGCACTACCAACTGTAGTGCTATTCTTTTGTGGCATTTGACTCAAAATTGAGCTGATTCTGATGGGTTTTTAAATTGATAATGATCAAAACTTTGGATTATCTGTTTGTGTTGAATTAATATATTCAAGTCTAATTATTGTATGCCTAAAGGAGGTTTCATAGCTTTTGAAGCATGTGTTTCAGTGTTTATTCATACTTGGATGAAAGTTCCAGTTTCTGTACTGAAATTAAATGGAACTGTTTTCTTTAACTTTTCCAGGTTGGTACTGACGGTATAATGCGGCTCAGCAGTTCAGCCCTAAATAATGAGTTTTTCACCTCTGCAGCTCAGGGATGGAAGGAGCGATTAGCAGAAGGTATGCAGCCGACTAGTAAAAGTTGCGCCTTGATTGTTTAGTAGATTTCATAACCTCATTTTAAAGTGAGCTTTTATTTTTACTCCTTCAGAGGATCAATTTGTAGAAATAATACTGGAGGTGTAATGTGCTGAGTGGCCTCCAGATGTGCTGTAAATTCAATGAATTGTGGATGACTTTTTTTCATTTACCCTTTTTATTCCTCCTGGTTTCCTTCCTTCCATTTACCAGCATAAGATTAATTCAATTTCTAAAAATCACAGACCAGCAGAGTGGTAGGGGTTGCTGTCTAAAGTAACAATGAAAGTTCTGCACCTCAATTCTACTTGAAAGCATTGTTTTCTTTGTGAAATATGAACCATACTGCTGTGCTTGCGGTCAGTTCAAACACAGATTAACTCACTTTGCTACTTCTATGTGCATGCCAGGTCATGTTTTTTGCTGTTTTGACAACCACGTGAGCATCTGCAGTAGTGTTGCTCATATTCTTCTTCAGCTTTGTTGTCTTTTACAACTGTTCATGTCACACATCTTGAAAACAATTGAAATTGGGCAGGGGGGAAAAGGGAGTGGGAGGAGCAAGGGAGTAATGCTATCTTTCTAAGAAGTTCTTAGCACCCAAAATTGAGACTAGAAAAGGAGTACCTGAATAAGTTATGTAAATGCATCATACCTTTATGATCTAATACACTTGATCAGTATTGTTCAGCACATTTAGTAAAACCCAAGTATTTTTGTTATTTTAATTTTATTTTGCAAACTACTTTTCTGAAACAAGTATTCACAACATAGCTGTTTTAATATGTTTAGAACTGGACTTCATCTGATGAATATGATGGAAATTTTCCATTTCTGCTCATTCACGTTTGTAAGTGAAATGCTTAGGCAGTTTCACATCAAATCTTGGATGTGGGTCCTGCCTGAAAATAGGCCAAGCATTCACTGTGGCATTGTGTAGAGATGTGCTATTTTGAGACTTGACTCAAGAACCCCTGTTACTATTTCTAGCTCAGTCTAACTTATTTATGCTGATGAAGTAGGCTTGAGCATCATATCCAGGTCATTGTAGTATCTCTGTATGACGAGCAATTTTTTATGAAAACAGAAGAACAGAATTGAAGAAATAGGAGCTGGAGTAGACCAACATGTGCAAGTTCCACTCCAAGCCGCTGACCACCCTGGCTTAGAAATACGTTGCCATTCCTTCATTGTTGCTGGGTTAAAATCTTATAATTCACTCCCTAAGGGCATTGTAGGTTTATCTATAACACTTGATTACAGCGGTTGAAGAAGGCAGCCTACCACCACCTTTTCAAGGGTAACTCTGGCCATTCATTGATATCATGGCTGATCTTCTACTTGAACACTATTTTCCTGCACTATCCCTTAATGTATTACTGTGTAGAAATCTAATGATCTCAGTCTTGAACATAATTATTTACTGAACTTCTTCTATCCCTGGAGCAAGAAACTCCAGAGACACTACCATGGAAAAATCCTTTTTCCTCTCAATTCTAAATGACCTGTCCCCTGTTCTGAGACTCTGTTCTGTGGGAATTTGAACACCCCAAACTCCCAAATTCTAGGGATTCGTTTGGTAAATCTTCCTTGCATTCCCTTTGTGGCAATTGCATCTTTCTTTGGATAAAGAGACAAATATTTCATGTAACATTCCAGTCTCAAGTGATATAATTACGTAAAGCATCTCTTATCCTTTACTTAAATCTTATTGCAATAACGGCCAACCTACCATAAACCTACTTAATTGCTTGCTGTACCTGCATGTTGACTTTCTGACGCATGAACAAGGACACCCAAGTCCCTTTGAAGTTAGAAACATCAGCTTCTCACAGTTTAAGTAATACTGTATTTCTGTTGTTCTGACCAAAGTGGATAACCTAACATTTCTGTCTTTTTCTATTTCGGCTGCCAAAGTTTTGCCTGCTCACGTTGCCTCTCCAAGTCACCTTGAAGTGTCCTGCTCACGTCGCCTAGTTTTGTAACCTACGCAAACTTGAAATATTGCATTTAATCCTCACATAAAAATCATGGCTGTGGATTGTGAATAGCAGGGACCCAAGCAGTGATCCTTCACTTCCTGCCAAACTAGAAATGACCCATTTATTTTGTCTTTGTTTTCTGTATGTTAATCAGTTAACTATTCTCCTTAATCTTATGCACTCCTGATTTGTTCACCAGTCACTTGTATGGAACCTTTTTGAAATGGTTCTGAAAATCTAAGTACACCATATCCACTGATTTCCCCCTTATCTACTCAGCTAATTAGATCCACACAACCCCTCAACAGGTTTGACAAACATCATGTCCCTTGCATAATTCCATGTTAACACTGCCAAATTCAATCATTATTATTGAAGTGTCCTGTTATGGCTTTTTTTTGTCGTAGTTTCTGGTATGTTCCCTTTGACTGGTAATAGCCTCGCAGGTCTGTAGCTCCCTATTTTCTTTCTCTCTCCTTTTAAATTGTGGGGTGACATTTGCTATCTTCTGATCAGCTTGGTGCATTCTGGAATCTCTAGAATTTTGGAAAGTGACCGCCAAAGCCTCTTCTGTCTTTAGAGCCACATCTTTCATCACTCTGTGGTGTAAATCATCGGATCCAAGGAAATTAACTACTTTTGTTTCCATTAATTTCTCTAATACTGGCAGATGGAGTTTAATTTAGATAAATGTGAGGTGCTGCATTTTGGTAAGGCAAATCAGGGCAGGACTTATGCACTTAATGGTAATATCCTGGGAAATGTTGCTGAAGAAAGACACATTGGGGTGCACGTTCCTAATAACTTGAAAGTGGACTCGCAGGTACACAGGGTAGTGAAGAAGGTGTTTGGTACCCTTGCATTTATTGGTCAGTGTATTGAGATAGGAGTTGGGAGGTCATGTTGGAGCTGTACAGGATATTGGTGAGGCCACTTTTAGAATACTGCCTGTAATTCTGGTATCGCTGCTACAGGAAGGATGTTGTGAAATGTGAAAGAGTTCAGAAAAGATTTACATGGATGTTGCTAGGGTTGGAGAGTTTAAACTATAGGGAGAGGCTGAAAACACTGGGGCTTTTTTCCCTGGATTGTCAAAGGCTAATGGGTGACCTTACAGAATCATGAGGGGCACGGATAAGGTAAAGAGCCGAAGTCTTTTCCCCAGCGTAGGGTTGTTCAAAACTAGAGGGCATAGGTTTAAGGTGAGAAGGGACGAGATTTAAAAGGGATCTGAGGGGCAACGTTTTCATGCAGAGGGTGGTGAGTGTATGGATTGAGCTGCCAGAGGAGGTGGTGGAAGCCAGTAAGGTCACGAGATTCAAAAGGCATCTAGATGGGATCATGAGTATGAAGGATTCAGAGGGATATCGTCCAATTTTTCACAAATGGGATTAGTTGGCTGGGAGGGTCTGGTTCCATTCCTCTCACCTCTATGACTCTACTTTACTTTTTTTTTTACTAATTATTAATATGCCATTTTCTGAGTTACATTACCTCCGACATTCTGCATCGTTTCTTCGGGAGGTTTCTGGTATTTTCCTCACTGAAGAAAAAGATGAAACATTAGTTTCTTCTCCATTTCCTTAATTCCTATTATTAATTATTTTTCCTCTGCTTGCACCTGTAATTTGCTGTTCATAACTTCATAGTTTGCTTTGTTTTTGGATTTATGGACCTAGTTTCTGATTGAACTACGTCACTTTCAAATGTGATGTATATTCAGATCATATTGTTATCCCTCTTTCTTAAAGGCTCCTTTATAACAAGATTGCTAATTAGCCCCTTTTCTTTGCATAATGCTAGTTCTAAAATAACCCTTTCCCCACTTAGTTCGTAAACATACGGCTACAGGAAAACAGCCTGTGTACATTCTAAAAAATTGTCTTCTACAATATTAGTACTAATTAAGTTTTTCCCAGTCTATATGTAGATTGAATTCCCCCATAAATACTGTATCCCCTTTATTATACCCATTTCTAATTCCCTAACTTTTACTGTAATTTACATTTATCACTGCTGTTTGATGGTCCATAAACAATTCCCACCCAAGTTTTCTGTCCCTTGATGTTTCTTAGTTCCACCCAGACTGACTCTACATTTTGAATTTTAGAACTAAGGTAATCTCTTGTTATAATACTGATGCCATCTTGACTTAGTGCACTACCATCTCTCAACTTCCTGTGCTTGTCTATCATGCATCCTTGGATTTTTAGGTCCCAGCTTTGGTTTCCTTGCAGTCATGTCTCTGTGTTGGCTGTCAGGTCAACATAGAACTTCTGTTTGAGCTGGTGACTCATCTGTTTTACTGAAAATGCTGTGGACTTTCAGTTACAGAGACCTAAGTTCTTGTTTCTGTAACATCTGCTCCTATCTGTTGGCAATCACTGTCTTTTCCTGCCATACTCTGTTTTTCGTTATTTATTGCTACCTCTTTCCCTTTTTAATTTATTCAATATTCCCCATCAAGGCTCTTGCCCTGCCCTCCCCCCAAATTCATTCAAAACTCCCTGTACTTCCATAGTTTAAGACTTGGTTAAAAACCAGTGCCACAATGTAGCCCAGCTTTACTCACTACTAATGCCAATGACCCATAAATCTGAATCCACTTCTCCCATAACCATTTTTGAGCCATGCACCCATCTCTCTAATTGTTTTCACAGATTTCCAATTTACACGTTAATAATCCAGAGATTATTACATTTGAAGTTCTACTTTTTAATTTAGTGCTTAGCTGCTCATACTGGCTACGCAATACCTTTTTCCCCTGTCTTTGGTATCTGTGTGGATCATGACAACAGGATCATCCCCTTCCTACTGTAAGTTCATCTCAAGCCATGCAGATATCCTGAACCCTGACACCAGACAGGCAACACAGACTAGATTCCCATTCTTGGCTGCAGCAAATAGTGTCTAACCCCATGCTTATACAGTCCCTCCTGCCCTGGACCATTGCACCATAGTCAGGCTTTTCACCTATACTATAGCCTTGCTATTTCCATTGAAGCTGCAAGAGCCTCAAGATTATTAATCGGTAGCAAAGGCGAAGGCTCCTCCACTCTCAGCTTTTTGATTCCCTTGACTGCCTTCAGAAATCAAGCATTCAATACCTTGCAATATTTCTAGCTCTAGCTCAAGCTCCAGCTCATAATTGACAAGCTGATGTGGTTACCTTTTGATTGGCGTAGCATTCAGGAACCCCTTCTTGCAACTGTGAAACACTACCTGTACTGTTATCACTGTGCTAAATTCATTGAACAAAATGCAATGATTGGTGTTCTTCCTGTCTCCATATTGGCATAGGAAATTGGTGCTGACACCAGTGATGTGCAGCTGGAGCAGGAAGTTGTCATTCACTCCAATAAATGCATGCAAAATGTCACTGATATCATTATTGCTCACTAGCTCCACTTGCTGTCATGCTGAGCACTCTGCGTGTCAGCTGTCTCACTGGACATTTGACCTGCTGTCCCTGTCAGACAAGGTGACATGTACAGTCCTGAACCATAAAAGTAGTCTGGCAAAGTAAGAACTTTGAAGACTCTGCAGATTAGACAAATTTTGGAAAAAGGGCATTCTTTTGGTTCTGCAATTAAAGTAACTTTGAATTACTCATTGTGGATGGTCCTATCCTTTTGATGCACCTCCTGTGGTTGTCTTAGTTGCATATGTAACCTTAATTTATTGTTCTGCATATTCATTAACTCCCTTCATAAACCCAACTTCTGGCTTCCCACATTGTGCACTCAAGCAGCACTAAGAAACCTTTGTTTCTCAAAAACAGTGTAAGTGCAATGAGTCAGCTAAAGCAGAGAATCCTGCTTAATTTCTTAACTGGTTAGCTCAAATAGGGGTCCAAGCCTGGTAGAAACTTAACTAATTGTTTCAAACACTAATTTAGTTAGCAAAATTTAGATTTGAGAGAGAAATGAGCCCTTAAACCCTTAATTCTTCATCCAACTCCTGGCTTCACCAGGGTAATTGCTATGTGTGTTTACTTTTCCTTTTCTCTTCTCCCAAAGCAGTGCATTCACTATCTGGCAGTAGTGGACACAAATATACGGCATAAAGTTTATTTTTCCCTATAAGCATCCATTGGTAACCTTTTTATAAGTTTGGATCTTATTGATTCTAAGATGTGAAATGTTCTTCATTTGAAATAAGTAATGTCTGTGTACTTTTAACCTTGTGAAGGGGAATTTACACCTGAAATGCAACTTCGGCTCCGTCAAGAAATGGAAAAAGAAAAGAGAGTGGAACTGTGGAAAGAGAATTTCTTTGAAGATTATTATGGGCAGAAGTAAGCACAATTTTGATTAAATATGTCCAGTCAGTTTTCTAGCATTAAAATATCGCATTGGTTTCTGAAACTTCTTTACTTGCAGATCAGCTTCAGAAATTGATAACAGAATTTGTACTAAACATAACCAAAGGGAGGACTCCCCTACTCTGTCTCGTGTCATTTTATGACTTCAAAATTATGCCTTTTTGTCCAATCAAATGAAAATAAAAAATTCCATAACACCGTCTGGCAGTGAATAAGTGAGTTCTCCCGGTAGTTTAGCCAGAGTTTGTCTCTCAACCAGCTTTAATAAATAAAATGAATTTCGGGTCAACTTCTCATTGAGGTTCATAGTCCCTGTATTGCACAAATCGGCCACTGTGTTTCTCACAAGAGTTAACATATTTCAAAAATTGCAGTTTGCTATAAAGCATTTTGTGTCGTGAGATGGTAAAAGGCTCTATATAAAGGAATATTCCTTTTTAAAGCTTACAGGGCTGTTCTTTTCCTTTTCTTTATTACTTTGTTTGGGTTTATGTAAAAAAAGACACTTGCGTATAGGGAAATTCATGAAGTGTTCATTGATGGTATATAACCATATAGCAGTAGCAAATCTTAACTAGTTTTGATTTGCAGAATTTTAGTGCAATATTCGGGAATCCATTGGTGCCCTCCTCTCTCACCATACACAGAAGCTCATAATTATTGCAATGAGACTATTTGACTCATCATCTTTGCACAGGTTCTCCAAATGAGCAATTTACTGCTTTTTCTTCTGCTTTTCCCTGTAACCCTGAACACTTCCTTTCAAGTAATCATTTATTTTCCTCTTGAATGCCTCAACTAAACTGCCACTAACGTTCCTTCTAGGCTGTGTGCGTGCAGCCACTCCGAGGTTCTGCATATGGTAATTGCAACATTGACTTCCAGTCTGAGGCCCGTGCAGCCAGAAAGGAATACTGTTCACCATGCTTCCAGGAAGTGCATTTCTGACCCTAACTCCTCTCCCTGTCACAAAACATTTTGTCACATCCTTTGCTGCTTTAGGAAATTACTTTAAATCTGAAACCCCTTGTCCCCATTTCTGAAGAAGGGTCCTGACCCAAAATGTCAACTTTCCTGCTCCTCTGATTGCTGCCTGGCCTGCTGTGCTCCTCCAGCTCCACACTGTGTTATCTGTGACTCCAGCACCAGCAGTTCTTACTATCTCTGAGTGAGTTGTAACCCCACTGCGAAGCCTCTTCTAGGGATGCCTACCTTGAAGAAGTTATCCTCCTCCCTCTGGGCCCATTTCTGAAGAAGGGTCCCGACCCAAAATGTCAACTTTCCTGCTCCTCTGCTGCCTGGCCTGCTGTGTTCCTCCAGCTCCACATTGTGTTATCTTTCGCTCATGAGAACAGTTTCTTCCTCTCCATTCTCCCTGGGCACCTGTCCCAGCTTTACCAGTCTGTCCTCATAACTGAGATTTGTCATCACTGGAACCATTCTCTTAAGCCTCTTCTGCGCTTTCTCTGACGCATTAACAATCTTCCTGAAGTGTGATATTCAGAACTGTACACAATATCCAGCTGTCGAACTAGTGTCCTACAGTTCAGCGTTATTTCCTTCTTCTGTACTCTGCCCCTATTAATAAAGCCTCAGATACTGTCTATACTGTCTGTACTGTCTGCTTTATGAAATGCTTTCTCCACCTATCCTGCCACCTTTAATGACTTAGACAGATATACACCCAGGTCTGACTGTTCCTTGAATACCTTTTAGAATTGCATATGTTTTAGTTTATGTTGTCGCAAAGTGTACCACATCTGTCTTCTCTATATTGAAATTAATGTGCCACCTGTTTGCTCATCCAACCACCTTGTCAATGTCCTTTTGATGTTCCTCCTTGTTTTTTTTCATAGTTTACAATGCTTTTAAGTTTTATATAATTTGCAGACTTTGAACTTATTCCTTTTCACAGTAAGGTCCAGATCTCTAATATGAATCAGGAAAAGCAAGGGTCCTAATACAAACCTCTGGGGAACTCTACTACAGACTTTCCTCCAGCCCAAATAATACACATTAACCATTACTCTTTTTGCTATCACTCAGCCATTTTTATATCCACATTGCTGTTGCCTCTTTTGTTCAGTGACTTCTAACTTTGCTAACAAATCTGGCACTGTGTCAAACATCTTTTGAAAGTGCACATACCATCATATTAACAGCATTATTCTCATCAGCCTTCTCTGTTACCTGTTCAAAAAGCTCCTGCAGCTATCTTCTCAAGAAATTCATGCTGGTTCCCCTTAATTAACCCTTAATTAATTAAAATTGTGATTTTAAATCTATCCCAGATTATTGTATTGCAGAAGATTAGTTTGCAGGTACAACAGGTAATTAAGAAGGCAAATGGAATTTTGTCCTTCATTGCTCAAGGGATTGAATTTAAAAGTAGGGAGGTAATGTTGCAGCTGTATAGGGTGCTGGTGAGGCCACACCTGGAGTACTGTGTGCAGTTTTGGTCTCCTTACTGGAGAAAGGATGTACTGGCCCTGGAAGGGGGTGCAGAGGAGATTCGCTAGATTGATTCCAGAGTTGAGAGGGTTGGCTTATGAGGAGAGGCTGAATAGACTGGGATTATATTCATTGGAATTTAGAAGAATGAGGCGGGCGGGGGCGAGTCTTATAGAAACTTCTAAAATTATGAAGGGAACATATAAGATACAAGCAGCGAGGTTGTTTCCACTGGTGGGTGAAACTAGAACAAGAGGGCATAGCCTCAAAATTAGGGGGAGCAGATTTAGGACTGAATTGAGGAGGAATTTCTTCCCCTGAAAGATTGTGAATCTGTGGAATTCCCTGCCCAGTAAAGTAGTTGAGGCTTCCACATTGGATGTCTATAAAACTAAGATAGATAATTTTTTGAATAGGAAAGGAATTGAGGGTTGTGGTGAGAGGGTGGGTATGTGGAACTAAGGCCATAATAAGATCGTGGCTGATCTTTTCGAGTGGCGGAGCGGGCTCAAAAGGGCTAGATAGCCTACTCCTGCTTCTGGTTCGTATGTTCTTCACCACTGAAGTTAAAATAATTGGTATGTAATTGCTGCGCCTATCTTTCTACCTTTTGTTTTGAAACAAAGGCATAATGTTTGCAACTCTCCAGTCCTCTGACACCACCCCTAAATGTAAGCAAGACTGAACTTATGGCTAATGCCTCTGTAATTTCCATTCTGTCATCTTCAATAACCTTAGATGCCTCTTATCTGGTCCTTTTGCCTTATCAGCTTTCAGGAGAGATAATGTGTGCATTACCACCACCTTATTAAATTAGAACCCTATAATGACTGAGTTTTCTCTGCCCACTGCAAGCTGAGTTGCATTTGCTTCCTTGGTAAAGGCATATGTGAAGTATTTATTTAATACTTCAGCCATGACCTTGTTTCCATATGTAAGTCACCTTCTTAGTTCCCAATCAACCCATAACCCTCCTTTTGCCACTTTTTAAAAAATACTTATGTGCCTTTTAGAAGACTTTGGGATTCGATTTTAGCTGCTAGTAATCACACTTTGCTTCATTTAATTGCTTTTCACTTCCATTCTGAATCTTGTATATTTTAGCGCGGTTTTCAATTGTAGCTTTTACCCAACACCTGTCATGAGCACATTTGTGCTTCTTTATGTTAATCTCTATTTCGTTTTTTTATCCAGGGAGCTCTGGATTTGCTTGCCCTATCTTTCCCTTTTATTGAAATATAACTTGACTATACCCGAATCATCATCTCTTCTTTGAAGGTAGCCCATTGTTCACCCACAGTATTTCCTTCCAACATTTGGCTCAAGTGTGTACTGCCCCGCTCTCCTCTCGTTCCACTGTAGTCAGCTGTCCAGAGTTGATTATTGATTTATCTTTTCCACCGTCATCTTAATCCCGACAATCTAATAGATGATTGCTGTCTCTCTTAAATGTTCTACCACTAACACCTGGTCTACTTGATACACCTCATTTTGAAGAACCAGGCCGAGCAGTGTATCCTTTCTCATTAGACTGTAATTTCCTTGCGGTTCTATTCCTCTGCATCCTTTAGTGTCCTTTAGACCTTGCTGAGCAATGTAATTGCAGCTTGTTTGTTCCTTAGCTCCAGCAAAATCACTTCTTGAACCTTCTGGGACATTCTCTTTCTCCAGCATGATAATGCTATCCTCAACCAAGACTGTCACTCCTTTTTTGTGCTATCCCAAGTTTGCTGAACACTTTGCAACCAGGAATATTTAACGCCCAATTGTCCTGGTATTCTTCTAATATTATCTTCTGTTTGATATACAGTAAATCCTGTGAATCTCCAAAATCACAAGTTGTGAATTTGCCTATCTGTGCCAGAAAATAAGCAACAATAAAAATCAACGTCTGTGGGCAGAAATCGTGAATCCACGATTTTTTTAACCATTTTAACCTATTTTTAACGAGTGCCGCACTTGCAAATTTCATCAATTGTGCGGGTCTGAGGAGCAGAACTTTTGCAGATACAGAGGAATGACTGTTTGTTTTATTATTAAACCCTCTCCAACAGCACTGCCTGCAATGAATTCAAGCCCAACTCTGCACAGTTGTATGGGAGACAAGGAGAAAGACCCTAGCAGTAGTGACAGGAGATGTTCGTTTGGGGGAAACAGGCGTTTTTGAGGCCACAGATGTGACTCAGGATGCACGTCTTATCCTCCTATTTCTGCACTCATTTGTATATGACACTGATAATGTAGAGATCGTTTTTGAGGTGCTGCTTGCTAGTTTTTAAAAATCTGTCCCTAAGTTTTGACTCAGGGCCACATCTTGCTTCTACCCATGTCATTGGTGCACGTGAACTGCAGCCTCTGGCTGATCCAGAAAAATATCCTAAACTGCTCCATGATATCCTTGACTATAGCACCAGGGAGGTAACATTCTATCTTGAGTCATATCTCTGGCCACAGAAATGCTTGTCTGTTTCCCGAAACTAACACCTCCTATCACGAATGCTCTTCTGTTTTTTCTTTCTTTCCTTCATTCCTGTACAGTTGAGCTGCTTGGGCCATGGGCCTGTCTCCCACTACAGTAACTGCCTGGTTCTCTCACCCTGCCTGCAGTCATCTGCTCCCTATCTGCCTGCATGCTTCTGGATTTGTCTTATTGGCCACCTCCTTATATGTGCTAACAACATAGATCTCTGCCTTGTAAATGAATTGTAGTGACTCTATCTGTCATAGAGCTGTGAAATCTAGAACTAAAGTTTCTGCAGCTGGTGACACCACCTGCACATGTGCATGAGTAAGTGACATGAAATGTCCCAGGACTCCCCATATGCCATGGGATAGGCTTTGTGTGGGACCAGCTGCCTTGCCTTTCTTTAAACTTTCTTTTAGACTGTTTACTACAGGCTGAAGGTTAGGAAAGATTCAAATTAAGAGTAGAAATCAGAATTACTCACTTTTGCTCGCCAGTCAGCTTCTGCTGTATCTATAAATTGGGTAATTCGGGTTTAGAGTAAAAACAAGTTTCTACAGGTTGAAAAAGTCAACAAAGAAAGCAAAGGACCATCTTCTCTCTTCTCTCCCAACTCACCAAACTCCCAGTACTTCGTACAAGCTGCACTGTCAGTCCACAGTGAATAGTTTGTTAGGCTCCTGAATTTCAACAGTGGCTTTTAACTGAATTTTTCCTGATAATTTTAAAATATAATTTTAGGATAGAGATCAAAACGCCCTGAACTTGCCAAACTCCCATTTTAACAGTACTTGTTTAATATATTAATTGTTAAGGCGCTTGCAGCTACCTTTCCCTTGTTTCATGCAAATGAACATGACATAGAATTGTTATGCTTTGTCTGCTGCTCTCCATCACATAGTTGATTTTATTTGTAATTGTTCACAGCAAATTCGAAATAAATTTTCTAAAGTGGGAAATATTTTCAGATTGGTTTTTCGAAAAAGTGATTATTTAAGCAATTATTAATGTTAAAGATAAAGATGTTCATATCTGTGTAAATGTTAATGTACAGAAAGTTTGCAATTTTAAGAGTGAAATGATGGGCATTGACTATCCGTATAAAGTATGAGTCTATCCTCTCACCTTCAACCTTCTCACTGTCTGATCCTGACAGCTGTATTTTTGCAATATCTACTTAATGTTGGGCACAATCTGTTGAGATAACCCAGAAGCCAGATTTCCAGATAATGAAAACATTTTCCTATCAGGTGCTTTGAGCATCCTGAAATAGAAGTACTAGTATCACAATTTTGTTTGTATGTTTTCCTTAATTATCTTTTTTTGTATCACTTCTGTTAAGTGCCTTGGGACATTTTCCATGATTAAAGGTGTTGTATAAATGCCAGAAATAATTGCAATATAATCTGCACAGAATGTTCCCTAGTTGTTGACAGTTTTAAAAAATACTCAGGATTATCTTGGGTCTGCAAATGTCATCAAGAAATTTTAATTCCATTTGAGTGTTTCAAACATTTAATCTAATAGTAATCCCCACAGTTTGTCCAAAAAAAATACCTTTTTTCTTGTGGTCACTTGTGATTTACCAAGGTGACAACTACTTAACAGGACTGGTAGTAGCTATTGCCTGGGTTGACTTTGCTGCAATGGAGCAATCTGTAGTCCTTCATTTAGACATTAATGCTTAGATCTACCTATCTATTAAGAAAGATGAGCACAACTTGAACTTACCTTGATTTCAGCTATGCCAGTCATCCCTCCTCTGAATTAGTGTTGTGGCTGAATTATAGATGGTATGTAGAGTGTCAACCAAAGACGAAAGGTAGACTACCCCTCCTAGAAATGACTAGCCAAATATTTGAACAGTTGTATTCCAAATGGTGTAATTTCAGTGTCCCATACTGATTTGTAATGCTTTCTTAAGGAAGTTCATAAATATTTCTGTAACATTTTCTTTTACGCAATAATTATTTCTATGGACTTAACCAATTCATGCACATTTGGGGTAAGTTTTGCATGGCTGCATTCCAAAAATGGAACCTCATTTAATAGGAGCGCAGATCTAATAATTGGGTGTGAAAATCAGTGTGTCCAGTTTTGCTCTGCAAATAGTAGTGTGAGGGGTCAGTTTGCATAGTTTGGCTAAGTTTTAAAAAATTGACGCACTTGAAATGTCTACATAACATTTCACACAGTAAGTTGTGTTGACTTCTTTATTCCTGATATGTACTTTTGTCAAATAAGGCTTTGTGAACCCTTATGCTTAGTTATTTTCGGCATTAATCATAGATCGTAATATATAGGAACAGGAGAAGGCTGTTCAGCTCAACAAACCTGCTCCGCCATTTCATAGGGTTGTGGCTGATCCAACGCTCCTCACGTCCACTTTCCTGTCCTTTCCCCATAGCCTTTGATTCTTCTACTGATCAAGAATCTATTGTAAATCGGGTTTATCCTGCTTTCAGCCATTACGCTTTTCAGAGATTAAAAATATTTCTGATTCCTTCAGTTTCCAAATTGTGATGCTAATGTTATACGTGACTCTGAGTCAAGTTCCCATTACATTGGCTGTTATATCAGGTAGGTAGCTTTGCAACATACGTGAACATTTTTCAACTTAACTTTTGTTTCTTGACCTCAGACTGTGTTCATGTCATACAATAGCATAGACTTAAATGTTATCTACCAATTCAGGTTCACAAAGAAAGGAAGAAATGCTAGGCTTGAGACCAGCTAAGACGTTTCACTTGACACACAGCGTGATGTTGGTCAGTTCTCTGTGGGTGGCTGCAGCTCCTGATTTGCTTATCAGACATTATCCAGAGTCAACACCATGAAGCATCCACATTGTTTTGATTCTCCTATTTTTAATGCAGCTTCACACTACTTAAATTTAACACTGAATCCACCTTAACATTCTGTTGATGATGTAATAAGTATTTCAACAATTTGTGCACATAAAAGTTCACTGTCCACCCTTTTTGCTAAAATGTTAACTACACTGTCTACCAATGACTATTGATGGAATTTTGCCTCAGTCTAACTTTGCAGTGCATGCATACATTTCAAAAATGAATTAAAACTTACTCTGGTTTTAAAATGTCCAATTTTTACCTCTTGTCTTGCAATATTCTTGAACATATGCAATAGACCCAGCTTAAACTGCAGGAATTACCTCTTCAGGATGGAATTAGTGCAGGTGGAATCCGATTAAATAATGGAAATGAAACTTAAAATAATATTTAAGTAAGGAAAATTGAATATTAACGCTGTCACATATTGCTTCTATACAATGCGATCCAAAAAATGTGAGTATATTTGTTTTGGTTATGTTAACAGACTGGGCTTGACTAAAGAAGAATCAGAACAGCAGACATCAGTACAAGTGGGAATAGAAAATGAAGCCAGTTCACCTGTATTAGCAGGACCATCTAAACAGCAAAGTCCGGTTAAAAAGCAGGATGAGAGATTAAGGAAATGTACTAGAAGTTCAAAGGTGGACCTCAAATGTAGAGTGAAGAGGAGCCTTATTAAAGAAGCAAAGGCTGAACTTACTGAACCAAGTGAAAAAACAGATTCATGTACGGTGTCTTTTCAAGATACCAGAGGCCAGAAACAGCACAATCATGAGGCCAAGGTGTTTCACACTGTTGGCTGTGCAGATGAAGATCAACTTAGTTTAAGTAATAATGAAGCTAGACCGGGACAGCTAGAAGAAAATCTTCCAAATAAATCTGTCTTAAACTCGAAACCTATATTACTTACAGAAAGACCTGCAGGAATACAATCTCAAGAACATAGCAAATCTGATGGATGTTCAGAGTTGACTGATGTGCAACCTGCTGGAATTTCTAAGGATCAGATCACCTGTCTTACTATAAGGAGTGCTGTTTTGAAAAGTGAGTTAGAGCACAATTCGTCAGAGTCCAAAGACCAAAAGAGAAAGTCTTCTGAGCACAGTGCCTCAACCTCTGGCCCTGAGAAAAAACCACGTCTTGAAGATCATCAGTCCTTTCGGACCGCAATTGATAGCTTTCGGACAGAAAAAGAGCATCCTACAAAAGAAGAACCAAAGGTGCCACCAATTAGGGTATGTACAAATAAAAATGTTGAATCATTACTTGAAAAGCACATTGTAGTTTCCATTTTACTGTTGTTAGATGATTTGAGACAATTTAGGACAGTATCTGTGTTGCTTTGTTTTCCTGAGATTAATTTTAAATCTAGGAAATGCTATGATTCACCTGCCAAGCCTCCCATTTGAAAAGCACAATCACTGGTTTCTTCTTTCCGTATGCAAAATAACAACTCTAGTTTTTAACTCTTTAAAATGGGTAGTCCTCTTTTCTTTAATGTTGAATGCTTCATAAATTTTTCTTCTCAATGTTGGTTGATCTTAAACTGAAGTCTTTTTGTTTTGAATGACTGGAGGATTTGTAACAGTGGACAGTTTCATGCTGAGTGGTCCCAGATGAGATGCAGTACAGGTTAGGTCCTACGTAAAACTTGTATTTTATTTTGTCATATCTTCTATCATTGTGTATCCGAAATGAGATTATCAGTTTGGTTCCAACTGATGCTGAATTACTGAATAAGCGGTACTTTAGATCATAATTGCAGTATCACAGTTAGATTTACTCTCTTTTTATCGGTAAACATTTGGCTATTTTAGGTTAGGAAGTTAATTGTAAACTTTGTCAATTATATACAGTTTAATTTTACAAGTAAATCTAGCTGAATAGTTTTCTGACCTTCTGTGTGCAGTTTCCCTGCAGTTGCTAGGGTCTAGGGATCATCTTAATTCGTCATCCTAATTCCTGAAAAATCCTGTTAGCTCTCCAGTGGAAAATATTATAGTTGCAAAAACATGTTTGATTGCTGAACAAATTGATTTATTTGTTCACATTGGAAATCAGTTCTTAGACATTCTGCTAAAAGTGCCTGGACGTAAACAAACTCATCTACTTACATGTTGAAAAGCCTTCCACGACAAAATTCTAACGGAAGTGTATTCTGTTCATAGATTTTAATAATTACAAAGTAAGATCTTTATGAATCCTATGTTGTGCTTTATTAATTAAAGACCTTAAAATTTGCATAATCTCTTGAGACTTAATACAGCAATTTACTCAGTTGGTGTGCACATGTCTGAGCCTGTATATTGTGAATTTATGTCCCACTGTGGGCTTGGCATATTCCATCTAGAATGGTTCTGATGTAGTACTGAGAAAGCACTTTGTTTTTAGATAATTTGAACAGAGACCCTGTTGCTTATTCTGATGGTTCAAATAGTTCTGAAGAATCTTAGAATGATACGAAAATAGTTTTGTTCTCGTGTCCTGACCAATGTCTTTCTCAGTGCACAAGAGCATTTGAAATACAACTTTATGAATAATTGCTAATGTGTTGTTTATGGAGCTTTGGTTTGGAATTCTTGAGTTTTAGAGAATCAATGACTACTGTACTGTTGATGTGCTTTGGAAATCCAAAAGACTTGATAAAGTGCTACGTAAGTGCAAGCTCCTGCTATCTGTATTTTTGCAGTGCCCAGTAATTTACTGTTAATTTCTATTCAGAACGAGACATTTTTCTTTTTATTCCTGATTTTTTTTCTTTTCTGTAAATGTACATTCTATTGGTAAACCATAACATGGAGAGAATAAACACATGTAAGCTGGAGAAACCTGGAGACATTAAATTGCAGCTGGTCACTTATAAAATTATTTTTGTGTTTGCACGTTAATGTGACAGCTTGATGACAGTGCATACTGATAACTTATCTTTTCTCTTTACAGATTAGCTGACCCATTGTGTATTATCGTGCTTTTCTGTTCGTACTTTAGTTTTTCATTTATAGTTTTCCTTTTGGTTTTGCTACGTAGTGTTTTGAAATTATTAGCAATTGCTGAAGGATCAATGTCTCTGCAATCTAATCACCATTCAAAGATGTTGTTTGAAGTATAACCAGTTGCAGTCTTTGTTGTAGAACTCATTTCATAAAAGCTTTTGTAATAAATTTTAATTATTTTTCTTCCAGATTCAACTCTCAAGAATCAAACCACCATGGGTTGTCAAAGGGCAGCCAACCTATCAGATATGCCCCAGAATCATCACTACAGTTGGAACAGTCAGTCGAGAAAGGACAGGTGCCAGAACACTTGCAGATATCAAAGCCCGTGCTCAGCAAGCCAGGGCACAAAGGGAGGCAGCAGCAGCTGCAGCTGCCAGTGTTACAGTGGAAGGAGGGGGAAGGGGTAGTGGTAGTAATGGACCACGGGGCATTGATTCCCTCGGACAGATCGACGGAAAAGCAAAAGCCCTTGAACAAACTACAACAAAACATCAGTATAGAGCACAGCTATTCCAAACCTGCTCAACAGATGAGCCAGGAAAAAGCAGTGATGGAGAGAATAGTGTTAAGCAAGGTGTTATAATTGAGGAGTGTGTGGAAAGTGATCTAATTGACACAACACCAAGTAAATTGGAGACAGATGATATCCAGCAAACTGAATTGGGAGGTGATACCAATTACACAGTAATTAACAGTAAATCACCAGATTTAGTGGTCGATGTGCAAGATTGCAACCAAGCGACTGTTTCTCAACTGAGTGACATAGTGGTTTCTGATGGGCAAACAGACAGTGATGAAACTGAAATTCTTCAAGAGGGTCAACCACCCGAAACACTGGACTTGTCTGCTGACCGAGACAATATTTGTATAGAGTCGAGTGAAAAGCTTAAATGTGAAGCAGTAATCCTTTCATTTCCTGAAACCGATAATCCTGTGCATCTACCCTGTGATCAAACCCAGAAGTCTGTAAAAGATAAAACAAGTTGCATTGAAGAATCTCTTCAAAACTGTGGTTTCTCTAGACCAATAATTGCTGAAACTAAGAATACTGTCGTTCTCAACGCTATGGGCATCCCTCTTGTGGGGGTGAAAACTGCAGAATCTGATTCATTGCCAAGTAATGAAATGGAAACAAAAGTAAACACTACAGATGTTTTGTCCACCCAACTATCAGGTGAATTTCCAGAAACTGACTTATGTGAGCAAGAGGTTAATAGATGCACCATAAAAGAAATTGAATCTCCATTAATCCATAAAGTAACTTGTTCTCCAATTTTGCAGTCACAAGACGAAAATGACAGTGATTGTGTTGAAGTAAATGTAAATAATCAGCATGAAATAAACACATTGCTGGAAGCTTCAAATATATCACATATCGCAGAGAAACAAATGACATCTGTAATAGTGTCAACATGCTCTAATAAAGATCCCAGCCATTCATTAACACAGAAACTTTCTCTCAAGTCGGAGGGGCATGACTGTTTTGTTTCTGATGACACAGAATGTGCAACGGAGCAGCTTGTGAAACATGAGCAGACAATAGCAAATGGCAGGCACCAGTCAATAGAATCAGATGTTGCAGCATTAGAGGATGTCTTTGGCCAGCTAGTGAGCAAAAGGCAGCAAAATTCTGGGAGTGACCTGAATAAGAGTGGCTTGTATTATAAGACTGAAAAAGGTAGCCACCTGTCTGACGAAAGTTGTATACAGCCCACAAATCAAAGAATACTGAAAGATGACAGAACCCCTGTTGGTTCTAAAAGTGGTGTAATTGTGGAAAGTCCTGATGCCTGCAAAGGGACTGATAATGGTGATCTGCCCAAACAGTTACAGATGGTAGAGGATGATCAGCCGCAAAAGGATGAAAGACCAAATGAGTGTCAGAACAACAAGGCTGAAGATTTGCATAACATGCATCAGACTGTCTCTCTGCTACATCCAAGTGTTGAAGAGCCGAAAAAAATTGGTAATTTCAATAGGCCACTGTCATCCGTTGAAGTCAATAACCCCTTGGTCACCCAGTTACTTCAGGGCAGCCTTCCTTTAGAGAAGGTTTTGCCACAGTCTCATTCTGGTACTAAATTGGAGATAACTAGGTTGCTTATTCCACCTCCGTTGCTTTCTGAGAACCCACAAGTTAAGCAGGAAAGAAATTTCAGTCAGTCAACTGTTGATGATGTTCCACAAACAACTGATATCAAAAGTATAATCAGTGGAGTACATAGTGGAATCAAGTTATCTGACTGTCATTTGCATAAAATATTGTCAGGAGATTTTCGAGATCTGTCTCAAAAACGAATTGAACAGATGAAGTCAACTGTACTGCAGTCCAGTAAGCAATATGTGCAATCACAGATGGTCTTGGACAGAGATTCTAGGAGTCTTGGAGATGGTCCAGTTGTACAGGAGCAGCAAAATAGAACACCAGATCTTTCTAAACCTGTTCAAGAGTCTGAAGCAACAACAGAAAAAGTAACTCGAGCTACTTGCAGTTTTGAAGATGGCAGCAAAGAGCTAATGAAAGTCTCCCCTGGAAACATACACAATCCCAATGTGAAAAATCCTATAATTAGAAACATGCCTGAGACGTTGAAGCAAATCAGTAACTCTACTGTGTCTGGCTATTACATTCCAAATACACCAACCTTTTGTAAAAGTCTGGAGGCTCAGAACACAATATTTGGTTCAGTAATAGCTAAAGCTTGCAGTGGAATACCAGGGAGGCAAAAGGTTAGTCATGGTTATTTGCATAACACAGTTGTTGTGCAAAATGATGGAAGCTGTAGAGCAACAGAAGTAATTAAGATTCAGTCAAAGGGTTCTGTTATTGAGCATGTGCCAGGCATTGCCCAGACTTCACCAGAAAGGAATTTAATTGGAATGGAGAATATGCCAAATGCAAGAAGGGAATGGCTTCCTAAACTGCATGAAAGCTTTAAAGTCATCAAAACTGAAAATATACCCACATGTAGAGGAAATAACCAAAACCAAGACATCATTGGTATAAATGATGGTGCATACATTCCGTTTGATTCCAAAGACAAATTGTATGTTGGACCAATAAAGATGGACTGCAATATTGGAAAGGTTATTAAAGAGACTGGTCTACAATTTCAGCATTCGTCAGAACATTCTCTGATTAATTCCCAGCTCAGTATTCAACAGCAGTTATACGGCAAGCTTCCTAAACTTTCCTTCAGTAGCACAGGATTTAGTCATATCACCAACACATCTGTTTCAGAACTCTCTATGAGTAACTTTCCAGCATCTCTTGCTGGAAGCGTAATGTCACTGAGTCAAAAGGCAAACTTTGGGAATCATAATTCTTCGGTTCCTGCTCAGACATTTGCTGAAAGCAGTGGTGTCAACGAAATGACTTTTAAATGTTCTTGCAGATTAAAGGCCATGATCATGTGCAAAGGATGTGGAGCATTTTGCCATGATGATTGTATAGGCCCATCTAAGCTTTGTGTATCATGTCTTGTGGTGAGATAGTGAAGAACTGTTGTGAAGAAATGACTAATCTGGATCCCTATGATATGGATTATTATAGCATGGTGAAAGTGCAACATTTATGTATCAAAATTGTGTATCATTGTGTATAATTTTGCCTTTTTTGAGTCCAGTCTGGCCACTGTACATAAATGGAAAGGCAGATAAACTGCATGCAAATACATTAGGAAGTGTATCTTAGCAGTTCCTAATGAACCATTTTTGAACTGCAAATCATGAGGGACCTATCTGTTGAAATTCCTATTAGAATTTTTTTTGCTGATGTTAGTCTTTTCTTACCAGAAATGTGTAAAGATGAAGTTGTTGATTTCACAATAATGGTCTATGCACTGATTTAGTTTGTAAAACTGAAAGCAACATGTTAATACTGTAAAACTGACCACATGATTAAGCATGTTGAGTTTTTGCTATTTGTTCATGACCTAATATAAAGCAGTGTTCAGTTATTTTTTCAATGTTAAAATGCTTATAGTCTCCTACATTAGTATGCTTTGCATGTCGGTGATGTTGCTCTTCATAAAGATTGAATTGGAGAGTGCAGTATTTGGTGCTTCCAGTGCATTACTGACACTGGTATCTTTACACTTTGTTTTGTTTAGCTTGCTTCCCCATTATTTGGAAGTGGTAGAATACAACCTATGAACACAGTGTTAGCAAAGATGCAAGCTTATTAGGTGGCCTTATAGAAGTGGTTTGTTGTTTTCCATCTATAATTGCGAAGAACAATGGGGCAGAAGTCTTTTACTTCATTGTTTGACCTGAGTCTCATTCCCTGTTTACCAAAGACATTCTGCAAATATAAATTTATTTAGAAGTGGCTTTACCAACTCATTCTCAGGGTACATTAATCTCCAGCCATCAAATCTTTCTCCTTTCTATTTGTCTATGTTCATGCTGTTGTGTTGACTGAGTATATGCTTGGGATTTATTAGTCTCTAATGCGTGGGTGACTTTTCTGTCTGTATTTGCTGTATTTTTATTTACACCTTTACACAGTATTGAATTGTGTAGTAAATTGAATAAAATACATTAATTATATTGTGATGTTGTACATTGTTCATATAAATCCACGAAGCTCTGATCTTTGCATTCTCCAAATTTTATCTGTTTGAAATATTAAAAAAAATTTGTTTTACTGGACAGGTTATGGTTTCTCATCTCTACTAATATGTGGCAAAGCTGTTAGTATTTTGCTTGTGACTGGGATTTTGAGGTTGCGTGTTGGAGTGAAAAAAGTGAGTTTTCAGTGATTTTTAAATTGTACTGTGTTTAGTTTCTCGAATAACCCCCACCCACAATTTAGGCACGCTTTATGTTTTTAGTTTTTATGTTAAGTAAATTTTTGGGGAAATGTAAACAACGTTATTAAAATTGTTTAAGCTGTAGTAAGCTATTGTTTAATATGTAAACTAACATCAACAATTAACTAACCCCACTGTGTGACTATCATTGATGAAGGCTATGGAGTTTGCAGATTATTGGCCCAATTTTGTGTCGAACCAGAGTATTAGTTTAAAATTGAAAGTATAGATTTCATAAATAATTATAAGGGTGTGAATTCAGGTCCAGTTTAAACTTGGAGTACTAGTGATTTTCACAATGGGTGATTCCTTAGAATTACTGTCATCAGAAAAAAAATCATTCTCTGTTCTGTTTGCTTAAAAAAGTAAGAACATTCTCTTTCTTCATCTTATCACAAAACTCCTTGGTCTCACATTATTGAATTCTTGGAAATTTCCTTTTTGGTTAACCTTTAAAGTTGTTCATAAAAAAGTTGGAACAAAAGTAGACCATTCAGCCCTTTGAGCCAGCTCAGCCATTCAATAATATTATAGCTGTTGTGTTTGTATTTCAAATTCTACATATCCATCTATCCCCAGTAACTTTAGATTCTTGTTAGGCAAGGGAATCAATCTATCCTTGCCTTAAAAATACTTAATGACCCACCTAAGCTGTCTTCTGATTCGGTTTACTAAACACAATGCTGAGTTTTAAAAAATCTTCGTCTCTGCCCTAAAAGATCCACCTCGACTTTAAAATAATGTCCCATAGTTTTGAAATGACCCACGAGAGGAAACATCTTTGCCATGTGTATCTGTCAAGACCATTCAGGATATTGTACACTTCAATCAAGTCATCCATCATTCTCTTCTAAATTGTAGTAGAAACGAGCTCAGCCTGTCCAACATATTCTCATAAAACAGCATGTTAATTCCAGTATCTTCTGGGCAAAAGTTGTATTAATATGCTTTCAAAGCAATAATGATGAATTTAACCTTCTAGAATCAGAATCATACAGCATGGAAACACACCCTTCGGTCCAAACAGTCTATGCTGAACATAATCCCAAACTAAACTAGTCCCACCTGCCTGCTGCTGAACCACATCCCTCCAAACGTTTCCTATTCATGTACTTGTCCAAATGTCTTTTAAACGTTGTGATAGTACCCACATTCACCATTTCTTCAGGAAGTTCTTTCTACATGCGAACCAGCCTCTGTGTAAAAAAAAAAAAAAAAAAAAATTGCTTCTCATGTCTTTTTTAAGGTGACAGAAGAGAGATTTTAAAAAATGCACCCTGTGGTCTTGAAATCCCCTATCCTAGGGAAAAGACAATTACCATTAACTCTATCTGTATCCCTCATTATTTTATAAACTTCTGTAAGGTAGCCTGTCAACCTCCTACTCTCCAGGGAAAAAAGTCTCAGCCTATTCGGCCTTTCTTTATAACTCAAACCTTCCATAGCTGGCAACATCCTGGTAAATCTCTTCTTCTGACCCCTCTTCAGCTTAATATCTTTCCTACAACTGGCAACCAGAACTGGATTCCAGAAGAGGCCTCACCAATGCCCTGTACAACCTCAACATGACTTCCCAACTCCTGTACTCAAAGGACTGAGCAATGAAGGCAAGTGTGCCAAACACCTTTTTAACCACCCTGTCTATATTTGACGCAAACTTCAAATAATTATGTACCTGACCCCCTAGGTCCCTCTGTTCTACAACACTATCTAAGGTCCTATCATTAATTGTATAAACCCTACGCTTGTTTGTTGTACTAAAATGCAATACCTCGCATTTATCCAGATTGAACTCCATCTGCCATTTTTCAGGCCGTTGACCCATTTGATCAAGATACCTTTTGGAATGTTTGATAGCTAACTTGTATGCATTTTCTAGTTGCCCTGTGGTTGTTATATCTCTGCCACTGTAAAGGATGATACAGATGTAAATGTATGATGTTTCCAAATTTAAACGATTGAATGCCATATAAATCTTTTAAGTCTCCTACCTTCTATGATCTGGCTTTTCCTGATCTCTGTAATCCCATTCACCATTATTCTATATTGTTCTAATGTGTGCGTTGTTTCTGCCATCAGTGTCTGTCCTTCGGCCACCATAGTAGTATTGTCTGGAGCAACTGCCTTCTGCATGACTATGCCTCTTCCCATTTCAAAACACTGCCATCAAACCTATCTGATGGTTATTGGTCATCTATCCACACTCGTGCTGTTGCTCAGAATCTGTTTTTCTATGTGAAGTACTTAGGGAAGAGTCATATATGTGTTAGGTTTTTTCTTTCAAATTCTTATTTAAGGGTTGTAGAAGGTTAAAGGTTAAAATAATTTGTTTTTTAAACTGTTGAGAATTCCTTTTAAACTTCTGGTTTATAACATTTGGCACTATGTTTCTTATTAAACCATTGAGTTATACAGCAGGGAAACTGACCCTTCAGTCCAACTCATCCACACACACCAGATGTCCTAAACTGATCTAGCCCCATTTGGCCCGTATCCCTCTAAAACCTTCCTATTCATGTACCTTCCTACTCATGTACCTTTCCAGATGCCTTTTAAATGTTGTGATTGTACCTGCCTCCACCATATCTTCTGGCAGTTTGTTCCGTATGTGCACCACTCTCTGTATGGAAAAAGTTGCCCCTCAGCTCCCTTTTAAATCTTGCCCCTCTCACTTTAAACCTATGCGCTCTATTTTTGGACTCCCTACCCTGTGTTCAGCGATTAATTCTGAAAATGGGAAATCTAGTTTTGTTTCTTCATAAGGTCTGTTCCTATAGTTCTTTATGTATCCTGAATTTATAATACGCAAACTGATCAGTTTAGAATCTGTACTTACTTTCTAGGTTACTCAAGCATAGACACGACTGAACTGATTTTAAAGCTGCTAATTCCACAAACGCTGCTGAATCTGTGAGCTACACTACTGAAATAAGGCTTGCTTTTACTATTGTTGATGGATTGAGGATATTAATTAGTTGGAGTTGAATGGCAGTTCTGGAAATAAAGGTAAGAGAACTAGGGGTCCTGATCGTATTTAAGGGAGCTCTAATGAGCTAGATTAACATCCGACGTCTTTCTTTTCAGTAATAGCTAATTAACAGAAACCAGATGGTGGGTTATTTTCTAATTCAATCAGATTTGGCTCTAGCATTTTTAATGACAAGCCTGTGAAAATCTTGCACAGATGCTTTTACTGCTGTGTTTGTGGGGATTTCTTTCAAAATAAGTTTAACTAAGCTTTTTCATATTCAAGTTTCTGTGTAGTGCGAGAGGAAGCATTTTTCCTGGTTCCTGCAAAGAGGGTGGCACAGTGGTGCAGTGGTTAGTACTGCTGCCTCGGCGCCAGGGACCCGGGTTCAATTCCACTCTCTGGCGACTGTCTGTGGGGAGTTTGCACGTTCTCCCCATGTCTGCGTGGGTTTCCTCCAGGTGCTCTGGTTTCCTCCCACAGCCCAAAGATGTGTAGGGTAGGTGGATTGGCCATGCTAAATTGCTCGTAGTGTTCAGGGATGTTTAGGTTATGTGGATTAGACATGAGGAAAAGCAGGGGTAGGGAAATGAGTCGGGTTGGGATGCTCTTCGGAGGGGCAGTGTGGACTTGTTGGGCCGAATGGCCTGTTTCCACACTGTTGTGATTCTGTGATAAGGTTGACCAACACATTTACCAATGAGTGTATGCAGTTATTTCTCAATCTTGCATTTCTGATTCAACAATTAAAATGTTTTACTGGGTATTTGATTTTGGTACACATTGACACGACATCTAATTGTGTCCTTCCACATTATTGTGTGTTTGTTGATAAAATGGTAAGGCAAAAGCAGAATGTAGAAGTCCTATTTTGATTAAGTGCTTCACTTGATTAATGAATAGATATTTTGAGTAAATTGCCTCACAAGAACAATGTTTACCAGTGTTGTGCTGATGTGTCTAAAACGTTTTAGGTTATAATTAGTGCATATCACTAAAACTGTCTTGCTGTTGCCACACCTGTGCCTAGTCAGTGATTTCAGTTGTCAACCCTACTATAAAGCAACATCCATCCTTTACTTGCACAGCTAAAAAAATTAGAATATTCTTGTTAAGATAGACCTGAATTTAAGTTTAGAAACTTGTTCAAATCTATATTTTTATTTGTTAGTTTGCTGTGACAATGCTATCAGCAGTAATTGTCTATCTCTAACTGCATCTTAGAAAGTTGTGGTGAGCTGCCTTCTGAATTGCTTCTTTCATTGTGTTGGTTCAGCCACAGTTCTTTTAGGGAAAGAGTTCCAAGATTTTGAGCCAGCAATAATAAAGGAACAGTGGTTAGATTTTCAAGTCAGAATAATGAGTGAGTTGAAGAGGCACATGCAAGCAGTGGTGCTCAGATGAACCTGCTTCCTTTGTTTTTTGAGTTGGTGAAGGTGGCAGTTATAAAAGCTGTTGTCCAAGAAGGCTTAGTTATTGCTGTAGTGTATCTTGTAGACTGTACTCACTGCTACCATTGTGCGCCATTGGTGAAGCAAATCACTGTTTAAGATAGTGCTTGGTTTGAAGTGGGCTGCTTTGCCCTGTCTTTTCAAGCTTTGAGTGTTGGAGCTGCACTCGTTCAGGTATGGGAGGATTTGATGATACTCCCAGCTTGTGCCTCCTAGATAGTGGACGGCCTTAAAGTGAGTCTGGAGATGAATTAGCACGGTAGAACATCCCACCTTCTGACCTGCTCCTATAGTTGACTTGTCTTTTGAGGAAGAGTT